ACGACCGAGCCGCCATTAGCTTCCGCGGGCCACGTGCCAAGCTGAATTTCCCGTTCGTGGACTCCACCGATCATGATACTGTCACTGATACTGATACGAGTGTGAGTGCAAGTGCGAGCGGGACGAATTCTCATGAAGCGGATGGAGAAATGGAAGAATGGATGAGGATGATGATGACGATGGATTTTGGGAATGGTGATTCTTCAGATTCAGGGAACACCATTGAAGATCTGTTTCAGTGATTGTTCTTTATGATCAGATACTCTTTCTCTTGCGGGACGAATTCTGTACTGCAGATGGAGATACGGATGATGACGATGATGATGATGATGATGATGATGATGATGATGATGATGGATTTGGGAAGAGAGAGAGAGAGAGACAGTATGGTTTTCTAGGATCTTTGCTTGTTTTGATTCTTCCAATTGAAGCAAGTTTTTTAGATTCTAATGACTTTTTTTGGCAATTAGATTTTTCTGTACTGTACAGTTGTACCATACAAAAATTGAGAAATTAAATAAATAACAATAATAAATTATAAAGGGGTAATTATTGAGTTTTTGCTGTTGGGATGATTTAAAATATAAAATTCAGAGTATCTAACCATTGTCAATTTGGGTATTAAACATGAAAATTCTACTTAGCAATTATTAAATGTTAAGATGGAGATAGAAATAAAAGACAAATTTTAAAAAAAAAAAGAAGAAGAAGAGAATTGGAAACATATGCATGTACCGAACCCACCAGAGAATCTAACCGCTTTTGGTCGCACAACTATAAACACGTGGGGGAAATAGACCCTTCGACACGGAAAACGTGGGTTGTCTTTTTCTTCAATTCACGCACGTGTTCCACGTTTGTCTTATCTCTAGTAACGCTGCCACTCCTGTTCGTACACAATTGCGATCGATTAATGTAGATTCTCTTCGTAACAGTATAATTTATAGCACCGACGTTGCTTTATCCTGCTATGCATCAGGAACGTTCACTAGTAAATAATAATTTTGATATATAACTTATACTATATAATTGATTTCAAGCGTTATTATATATCCAAAAAAGAGAAAACTATCAATTAGAGGAATGTATATTCGGAAAAGGCTATCCAAGAAATTGAATATATACAGAATATTTGAAAAATTGAGGTATTTATACGAAAATTTTATAATTCAAATATTTATTTAAATTTTTTTGTAAAAATTCAGATATTTAAATGCGATTATCCCTTTTTGTTTTATATGATTTATCTGCGTCAAAATCCCAACATTAGTTTAGCCTAATCTTTCACACACACAATATATATATATATTAACAATTTGAAGAAGAGCAAAACCTTGCTGTGGAAAAGAAAAAGAATCAGAAAGGAATGGGTTGTTTGTGGGGCCAAGACTCGATCTTCTGGAAGTAGTCGACGGGCACAACACCATCAAACCCTTCTGTCAGAATCACCTTATTATCCGACAAGTACAACTTCATCCCATCTGTTTCCCAGAATATAAAAAATAATAATCATACCTTAAAATTTGAGCTAAAATGACACAAGAGATTACAGGGAATCCATTACCTTGAAGAGCTTTGCTGGTGTCCAGGAAAATCAAGACATTAACGTCCCTTCTCATTCCTAACCAAATGCCAGCCAAAAAAAAAAAACCCAAGTCAAGCTTTTTTTCTTTCCAAATAGATGGCGACAAGTGCATAATATATTGGAGAATCAGATCCATTTCGTACGGAAATTCGGGTCCGTGAAGGAACATCTTGATCGAGAACCTTACCGCTGATCACTTCACCATCGGTCGGCAAGCCCCGAGAGAAGTGAACGTGCAGTCTATTCATGCGCTTTAACCCGTGTGCTAAGATCGATTCCAAGTTCTTTCTATACGTTCCATGCACACACACTGCCCCCCAAAACCAGGAGATACAACATTTAAAAAGAAAACAATCAGAGATCTAAGTGAAATTAAAATATTTGTAACGGTTGTACGGACCTGGAGCTTCTTCGGGCGAAAGGATTGGCTTAAGTAACTTTTCAGACTCAACTGTCTGCAAGTAGAGAGACCGAGTTTCGGCTTAAAGCTATACACAGTATAATATAATTTCGTCAAACTGAAAACAGAAAGTATCTGAATCATAGAGATGAAGTGTAGGATTAGATAACAACAAGAGGAATCAGAGAGAGAAAAGAAAAAAGCCAGCTATGACCATACCCAACTATGTCCAAAGACATAACCTTAAACAGGTAAACTCCGAATTTTCAGAGTAGGCGATAGATGAGAAAACAGAACAGAAGCAACCCGAAAGCCAATTACTCCGTCGGGTTTTCCTGAAATGCGAGGAAAAAGGGTCGTTTATATTATGCAGAAGAAGAGAATTGTTACCGTTATCGAATGGCCTTGGTTTGCACGAATCAAGAGTTCTCCATTCTCCTCCAAGAGACTGAACCTCTGTTTATTGTCCCTTCTGACAGCCTGAAAGAACAAACATCACAAAGCTTATGCTCTCTTCAAGAAACACAACTCAATTCACTTTCAATGGCGTCAAAAAAGGACAATGCCGAACTGACCTCCCTGATCTCGTCAACCGTGTGTGAACCCAATGGGACATTTGCGAATGTTTTCAGGTTCAGCTTAAGCAAATCCTCAACCCTAACATAACCATCAGCACGCATGTTCAAGTCCAATTCGTTGGCCATATGCCGCAAGATCCGTGTCCTGATGGTCGACAAAACAGCAAAATTCAGAGCCAAATCTAACCTACCCAGAACCTCAAACATCACAATCTCAAGCAGAAATCGAAAAATTAGGCCGAAATAGAGGGTCTGTTCCATAACGATCGCTACTCACAAGAGCCTTCCAAGAGCATCGATCTTGTCTTTTCCTCCTCCGCCGCCGCCACGGCCATGGGGTCTCCGTCGATCGGCGTCTCTCGCATAGCCTCTTGCTCCTCTACCGCCGCTGAGAAAACAACAATGGTTGCTCAATCGGACAACAAAAACAAAACCTCAAACGGTTTGGCGGCGGAGAAAACGCAGGACTCACCTTCTGCTGGATTGGGCAAAGGAAGAGAAAGAGGGCTTAGTCGGGGAGTTGAAATTTGAAGCATCCATGAAAGAAAACCTGGAATGGCTATCCGGGAGACGAAGAAGATAGAATCTCAGAAGCCGAGAGGTGTTCATCCACATGGATCCACGCGTTTACTTGCGTCGGCTCTATTTCTGCGGTATGAACGTGCGTGCCTATTAGGGGTTTTTTTTTTTTTGTAACAAATGCATCGCATCTATTCAAAGATACGTACCAAAATTAGAAGGAATGATCAAATGTTCAAGACTAGAAGCGAAAGATCGTTTTGGACCGGCTCATACCGGTCCGGTTTTTCACAAACCAAAAAAAAATTCGACCGGACTCGAATTGTCTAGAGAGTAGAACTAAATAAAAAATAAACCTAAATCCACAATACTTTCCTCTTCATCTAACATTCTGTAAAAACCACAAATATATAACACACTTACCGAGAAAAACATCAAACATGGAAGAAGAAAACCGAAAATTGAAAAATGCAAAATGAACCCTAACCTATCCCTAACTTCGGATTCTAAGCCAACAAGATCTCAATCAACCCTAAATCCGAAATAAAGTGTATGATTTTACTTATCCGCTACGAATTTGGATCCCCCAAGTTGAGAGGTCTCTGTCCCACAACTATAATTATAATTTTAACAATAACGTCTTAAAAGGAGGACGTATTTTTCTGCTTAAGAGTAGGATTGAATTTACTAACGTCTTAAAAGCACGTATTTTTCTCCTAAACAGTAGATGTATGCAGAGGGTTTCTGTGATAGATTTTTTTTTTTTTTGACATTACTGTATTTTTTTAGTGATTCTTCCGAAAATGAAAAATAATAAAACTAAAAAACGCAAGTTCTTTCGGCTCTGGCCGGCCCGTGGCTCGACCGAGCTCAAGCTCGTGACGGGTTGGCACGTGGGGTCTAGGAATTATTATGGCTCAGATCGTTAAAATAAAAAAAACGAGTCAGCTCGTAGACCCGGCCTTCCGAAGGAATCTTTCTTGTATAGCTTTCGGCAAAGAACTTATTCTTTTTCTGGTGTGGCTCAGGACCCAGATAGAGACTGTTCCCTGTTTTATCTATGCCTTCTTCATTCCCAGAATTTCTTCTTCATCCCCTCTCCCTCTCTCTCTCAAAGCATGGCCTACAAGCTTCCAGGGAATTATTAAAAAAAAAAAAAAAGGCAGGCTGTTTCTTCCACCCCAAGTTTCCGTCTTTTTCAGTCGGGCCGCCTAAAGGAATCATCTCTTCCTCTTGTCTCCTTCAAGGGTCTGCGATTATAAATTATGGACCGGGAGTCACATTACCAACAGGCTGCTGACAACTTTGTAATGTTGAGCACGAGGTTTCTTGAACTGCAGTACAAGCTCTCCAAGAACAGGCTCTTGAGGAAGCCTTCAAGGATGTTCTCCAGATAAACCTCGGCCTTGTCGTCATCCCCTGCAGTTGTTCCTCAGCCCCACGTCGACGAGATGAGGATGAGGCGGGCTTTCAACAGGTTCCACTCTGACAAAGACGGGAAGATCTCTCAGAAGGAGTACAATGTCGTCCTGAGAGCTCTAGGACAAGACAAGGCAATCGAAGACGCGCCCAAGATCTTCAAGGCTGTGGATATGGACGGGGATGGGTTTATCAACTTCAAAGAGTTCATGGAAGCACACACGAGGGGTGGAGGGGTTAGGGTCTCGGATATACGAACCGCTTTCTGGACTTTTGATCTGAACGGGGACGGGAAGATAAGCGCGGAGGAAGTGATGGCGGTCTTGAGGAGGCTTGGGGAGAGGTGTTCTTTAGAGGATTGTTAGAGGATGGTGAGTGCTGTGGATGCTGATGGAGATGGCTTGGTTAACATGGATGAGTTCATAACAATGATGACTCAGTCCTCCAACATCATCTGAACACAAGAGAGACACCTCTCTCTCTCTCTCTCTCTCTCTCTCTCTCTCTCTCTCTCTCTCTCTCTCTCTCTCTGCTATTGTAGAATCAGTTCCTGTCTCCTGTTCATACAAAATAGAAAACAAAAGAGGGCATCTATGTAGTTTCAATGTCTGTAACATGTTCTCACCTGTTTTACTTTCTGTAATGAAGTGAGTAATCTGTATTGTTTCGCCTGTAACTCCTCATATCTCCATGAAACTGAGCATAATTCCTCCGAGCTTCACAGAATACAGCAGATGGTTGAAATGGAAGCTTGTGGATGAGATGTCACTTTTCGGACAACATCTGAAAGACCCAAAAATTGCTTCTTCGATCGCATCAACACTATAATATGCACATCATAAGGAACGTCTCCTTGTTCATCTTCAAACCCAGTTTTCTCATCTCCTCGGATAACCAGACGCCATGAATCCATATCCCTATCGGGCACAATCATTAACATTATTCACTTGATCACAGAAGCATTCTCCATCAGACTTAGCTCCTTTAACAAACAAAGAAGGCATCTTTATACATCTTGTCCCGGCACAGTCGCAGTGTCTCATCCACACCATCCTGCTTCAGATCCCTCTGTTCATCTGGTTAGGGTTTTCGGCTTGAGGAAATCCCCAATTTTGGTTGTTCCCTGATGGAGTTTATTGGCTTCAAGGAGTTCACAGATGCAACAAGAAGCTTGGAAAGGTTACTAGATCTTGAACTTCTTCACCTGCGTTTTTCTCCAAACGGGAAACACAGCTGCAAAGTTTCTCCATAATCATCCAACTAAGGACGAAGCAGTAAATTTTTAATCATAAACAATAATTAATGTGAGTGAAAAGCTTCTAAGACATCCAGAATTGTGTTCTGTCCCCAACTTATAATGAAAACAGAGACTTGTAAGGAGAAAAGCTTATCAAGTACCAAGAATATGACTGATGAAACATGCTCACAAAGAGATGAAAACTACAAAATAGCAATAACAGTACCAAAGGCATACGTTCATACGCTCATAAGTTGAAAACTACCAAAGATGGCATAGGTAGAACAGCACTATACATGTCAAACTCTGAAGCAAACAGAGCAACAAATACCACGGGAGTGAACGAGCAACTCTACCAGTAGTCACCGCAAGAGCATTTCCCATCTCTGAAGTGATGGAACCGTTTGTTGTCCCTAACAATTAGCTCCCTACCAATGATCCTGGACATGATCTTGATGGCGTTATGACAATCCCCACAGACACGGAGGTTCTTGATGATCCTAAGAGTTTGTCGGGCTGGAGTGCTGATCAGACCATAAGCTATTGCTAGTCTCTCGCTATGATAGAGCAGTGCCTGTTCCTTGGCCTCTTGATCGATGTCATGTAGAACATATCGAGTGTCAGGCACATAAACCATATCTTTCTTTGCTGCTCTTGCTCTCTCTTCATCCTTGTAAAGGGTCAGATTACGAAACTCGAGGATCCGACTCTTACCCTCAAGCATGCTTACAGCCTTTCGGTTCTTTGGTGGAGGAGTAGGAATTTTGTTGGTTTCAGCCTTAGATGGGTCAAGATCGACCATCAACTCCTCCGCATAGTCCTCTAAATCGATATCTCCATGAATCCGAGCATAATTCCTCAGAGCTTCCCAGAAAACAGCTGTGGGTTCAAATGGCAGAGTCCGGATGTACTTTTCCGCTTCGATAAGCTGTCCACATTTTCCAAGAACATCCAAAAGCCCCAAATAATGTTCTGCCCCGGGATTAATTCCATGTTCACTCTTCATAGATTCAAAGTGTAGAAAAGCTTCTTCTATCGCATCTACAGTAGCACAGGCCAAGAAAATCAAAAGGAATGTCTCCTCATTTGGCTTCAAACCCAATTTTTTCATCTCCTCAAACAAATGCAAACCATCATCGCCCATTCCATTATCAGCATAAGCACGCATCATCAGATGCCATGAATCCATATTCCTATCTGGAATGTGATCGAAAACCCTCCTGGCATCAGTCATGCTCCCACAGTTCCCGTACATTTGGATCACTTTGTTGTTCAACTTAATATCACCTCTAAACTTAGATTGCAGGAAGTAATCATGCACTTTCTTCGCGTGTTCAAGGGACTTCAGATTCCCACAAGACTCGAACAGGATACCAAAGCATTCTCCATCAGGCATCGCTCCCTTATCAAGCAAATCAATAGCGTCTTTGTACTTCCTCTCCCGGCATAGACGCAATATCTCATCCACAGGAGGAGGATGAGAAGGCTGAGCCACTCCGTAAGCAGAGGTCACCGCATGACCTTGGTTCATGTTGCTCCGGCTAGGGGTTTCACCCCGCCCTTGCCATTGATTCGAGTTTTGCCCACGATTCTGATTGTTCCATTGATTTGTGCTTCCAGGATGCGGCGCATAATTCTGAGTCTGAGAGTTCTGCGGAGCATTCCACTGACTAGGGTTTTGCTGCACCTGGTTAGGAAATCCACGATTCGCATAGCCTTGTCCCTGATTCTGATGATTGAACTGATTAGGGTTGTGGCTCTGTTTCTGTGGCACCCACTGATTAGAACCGGCATAGGGGTTGCTCCGAGTCTGCATACCCCGAGAATCCAGTCGCGGCTGCTGCTGCTGCTGCGGCGGCGGCGGCGGAGAAGGAGCCATCGACTGAGTTGTCTGGTAAGGATGGTTCGGGACTGCGGAAGTGCTCATGCTTTTGACAGAGGTTGTGTTCAGCGATAAGGCTCTGGTACTCGGACAGAGACCGAAAGTGGAATACGAGGATCGGAGAAGAAATGAAGGCCGTACCTTGATGCGAGAACCAATCCATGTCGTTTCCGGGATCCCTACGAGGCGAATCGCCATGAGGGAAGAAGCCATTATTGTTGATGTTGCTGTTGGCGAATTCAAAACCCCTCGAAAACCCTAACGCTCTGAGACGATGGAGATTGGAAATGATGATGATAATGATATCGAACAGTCAAAAGAACGGTTTGCTTTGATGATAAAGATTTTAAGGTTTGGGCCTTTGGGCTTGATCCATTTGGTTGAACCCGGTATGGGTCGAGCCGGTTTATCCCGGTTAATTCGGGTCCAACAAGACCGCGTTCGGCATGGATAAGAATCATAAGATAGCGTTTGGCATGCACTTCTGATTCTCTCTTTTTTTTTTTTTTTTTTTACATACATTGTGTCTGGCACTCATCTTGTAATTTTTTTTACCAATATTACATTTTTAAAAAAATTAAGAAAAAAATCGATCTTTTCTACCATGAAGATTTGAATATGATATTTTTGTGTCCTATAATGCACATTTCGAAATACTATACTCGCTAAAAAATTACCTAAAAGCGGGTTAATTTTTTTTTAGAAAAATGGTAAAATAATATTAGTCCCAAATCCTAATAGTCCAAACCGTGGCCTTTTCATATAAAAAAACCAAGATGATAAATTTATTCAAGAATCGATTAATAATAAAAATCAAAATATAAATTCAAAAACCAGATATATATATATATATATAGGATACATATTATCCTTTAGAATAGATGATATATAATTTTTTTCAAACTATTATATTTTTTTCATTTGTAGATGAAAAAACGTAAAGTATTATACATTGAATCTTAACGAATGAGAAAGATCAAAATTGTAGAAAATAATGACATTAGATCAATGGGGTGGATTTAGAAAAATTAATAACGACGTAATAATCAAGAAAAATCGAAATCATTAGTTGGGTTTTATGAGAATTATACATACAAAATTAATGAAAATTTTACTTAATTTTATCTGAATCAATTTAAATAATTAATTTTAATTTTAATGTAGCAAAATAAAACATAAATACTGAAGAAGATTGTAGAGACAATGAAACTGAACTGAAATTATGTACATTTCTTGGACTTATCCACTAAGGATTGAGAAGAGGCTAGAATGGCTACAAGTTCCAAAGAAGATAAAAAAAAATAAATAAATAACAATAATAAATAAGAAATTCGAGTAGGGCTGAATTTATATCGAGGAGGGCTGAACATTTCGACTGCCACAAGTAAAATTTGATTAATATACTATAAAATTGTGTTCAAATCGAATATATTTTAAAATTTTATTAAATGTATTTTTTAAAACAAAGTAACCAAAATGCAATCAATATCATTTTCGAATATAAAAAGATGCCAAGAAAAAAAAAGAGTAAAAATTGATGTGAATTCGAATTTTAAATTGAAGTTTTTAATATAAATTTTATTAATACTATTATATAAATGGTAAATTTATAGTTATCCCAAAAATGATAATTTTATTAATATCAGATAAAATTATGAGTATTTTGATCATGTTTTTTTTTTTTAATTTTTGCGAATACATATACATATATATATATATAATATCAAAATGTGAATACGAACCCAATATATATCCACGTATCAACAAACTGAACCAAAGGAGAAATTAATATGAATCTCTTATATCTTAATATTTCTGTATATTTAAATTTATATTTTTTTCGCTAGTATATAAATATAATTTTTTTTGTTGTTGTTTCCGAACCTTGTGGACTATATCACTCGATAGTAAATGTCCAAAATAAGGAGAAAGAGACATTTTAACACATTGGATATATATATATATATATATATATATATATATATTGGAAACACCGACATTGACCGAGTGAAATATGTCAGTCCAACAACAATATATGATGATGGAACGAGAATTCACATAACTATGATTTTTCAAAAAAAAAATAGCTTTTAATATTTTTTTTAAGAACACAAGAACAGCTGCAATCCAAGATCCAACCTTGTGAATCGAGCCCTTGGTAATTAATCATGTTTATTAATTTATTAATTTTCAAGCACAAAACGACAAAACCTCGAATTCTTTAGATTTAGGTAAAACGACTATGAGACATCTTCTGTTCGCGAAATGGGAGACCACCAAGGAGACAGAGCTGCATCTACGTGTGTATATATATATGTATATATGTAGGAGTGTGCTTGTCTGTATACGCGTATATGTTTATGGATTTGTATTGATTATGTAATATAATAATAAAATGGTTATTATATGCTTAATGGGTGATAATTGGTCGCATTCTTTTGGAAGTGAGGATATAAGAACCGCGGCTTGTCGGAATCAGAACTTTAATTACACTGATTATAGCCAAGAAACAGCTATGATTTTCACATGGGCTTTTTGAGATTTGCCTAAATCCATCCATTAATTAAATTAAATTAATTACAGTGTTTTGGAGGTGGAAACCCATAAGTTATATATATATACACATATACATTTATATATATATATATATAAATTGTAACCTTTGGTTAGTGTGAACAGCCAAGAATTTCTGAAACAATATATACATTAATCGGCGAATTTACAACATGATTATGTTAATCAGGTTCCGAAATTTCCTAGAAGTTACACACAAATTTCAACTTCTTAATAAAGTCTAGAACGTAAAAATTAAATCACAATATGTTGTTATAATATAGAGTTACAAAAGGTGTTATTTAAAAAAAAAAAATCTCGTCACGTTGATTCTTTTAATAGAGTTACAGTAATTTTACAAAAATTAAATCACAATATGTTGTTATAATATATGTCTTATATTAAATTCAGACAAAAGTAACGAAAAAAGAATATATATATAGAGAGAGAGAGACTATTTGGATAATTTTATTTCTAATTTTATAACAACAAAAATGGCAATTCATATGAGATATATCGACCAATTGAGTGAATGTGTATAAATTCACAATGGCATGCATGTGCTTAAAACATCCCTTTTGCATTACTCTAGATTTTATCTTCTAATCAAACAATGGTAGGGTTTATATTTCATGGCTCTTTTTGGTCACCAAAAGACCCTCATTATTCATTAACAAAAGCACTGTATATTTTTTTTTATTACAAAATAATTAAATTAAAATATCATTAGTGTAAGATTAGATCAAGAATCTAAATCTAACATCTCCAAAAACCCATAGAGAAAGAAGCATACATGTCTTTGTCTGTGTATATGTAATAATAATATGCCCACCATCTATACATTCACACATATATGTATATACACACACACACACATACGGGTAATAAAATCATTTCAAGACATAATTTCCAAATATGTCACTTTGAATCTGAAACACATTAATACATACAGGAATCTCTACGCACACACACACATATATATATATATATATATATATATATATATATATGCCGACCGAGAAGGACAATATATTATAAATACAGGCATCTTCCACAGTGACGGACTGCAGAGAAAAAAAAAAAGGTGCCCAGAAAAAGAAACAAAAAGAAAACCTCAAGAGGGAAAGAAAAAATGGCGTATACAGACATGCAGCAGCAGCAACATATGTACGGAACATACGCAGAGCCAAGAATCTCGTTCTCGAACGACATGGCGGCGACGAAGCACGAGATGAACAAGTACAAGGAAGCTCCCGTCTCGTCGGAGTTCGAGTTCGGAGTGAAGAACTACGCCATGATACCCGCAGACCAGATCTTCTTCCAGGGAGTGATATTGCCTCTCAAGGACAAGATTAGCCAGAAGAAAATGGCGACTCTGAGAGAGGAACTGAGCGAAGATGACGACGACGCCGGCTCGTGTTCAGGGAGGAAGACGAAGGGCTCTTCGAGTTGGTGGAGAGAGAGATTAGGGTTAGGGTTCGTGAGGAGCAAGAAAGACCAGAAGAGAGCTTCTTTTCATCACCATCACCATCATCAATGAAGGGCTGCTAACACGTTTTAATTTTATTTTTGTGTAATGTGTCTCTTGTTTTGTTTTTTTTCTCTTCTTCACTGTTTCTTGTTCATGTACAAAAAATGTTTGCAGTTGAAGATCAATTCTCATCCTTCTCTTTTGACCATGGCTATGGCTGGTTTTCCGGATCTGATAAGCGAATGACCAATTACGATTTTTTTTTTAAAATCAAATCCGAACAAAATATAGAAATAACGGAAAATCAGAAAATTTATTTAAAAAATAAAACGTTTTTTCAATAAATTGATAAAAATTCGGAACGAATAATATAAAATTGAACGGATATAATTATTTAACGAGCCGAAAATTTTAAACTAAAGAACAACCGAACTCAACCCGAAATATCCATTCTAACAAAACCCGAGATTCGAAACAAAAACCGAAACCCTAAACCCGAACACAAGCTCATTGCATGCTCAGTACACAGTTTATTACCACACCCTCGTGTAGACAGCGCGCACATAGCCAAATAGATATGTAATCTACGCCCAGTTTTTGTACTACAACAAACATTTCGTCGAACACAACCGTTCGTCTTCGGCTCGTCTTCCTCGTCCGCCGATTCCTTGGATAATGTTAGAACGCAGTTATCGTCGATACGCTATTCACATTTCATGTGTACATTCCTCGAGTTATTCGTCAAACTCCTCTGCTGTCTCAAACTCGATGATACTAGGTAACGTTCCAAGTGCTTTCTCGCAAAAAAATGTCCCTAATCCGATCTGGCCCGAGCACATTTTGCTTGCGTCCCTCTTCACAACGACGGATAGCAAGGATTTTATTTTTCCGGGTGTCATAATCTTGAACGAAGAACTCGTTTCTTGAAACTCTTACGAGAGGAGGAAGAGGCGTAAGGCTGACCGTTCAAGGAGCCGGCGAATCTTATATCCCAACCCTCGATGTTCTTCGGAACACAAGCGTCGAACAGGAACTGCCCGAGAACGCTGTGAGCGTTTATGCAGCAGAAAGGCGATCTATCCATCTGTTCGGTACTACTGCTTTGGTATGGAGCCGAGCTTGGTAAGAAGAAGTGGTCGCTCGGCCTAGTCGCCACTCTTCTCAGGCTTTGGTTAGAGTTTACGGCCGCTTTCTGGAGGCCGCATATTAACTCGGGTATCTCGTCGTGGGTTCGAGCTCTCTCTCCAAGCTGCCGAATTTTCTGCAAGTAGGTTGACATGGCTTTTTCCAGGAAGTTGGATATAACGGCCCTGTATTGGATAGGGTAATGCGTGTAGTGTCCTGAAGAAGGACAAGAACAAAAAAGACAAGAGATTTAGCTCACGAGACATTGAGAAAACAGATGAAAGCCATGTCAAGGCGATGGAATAACCATTTGCCAGATCCAGCTATAAGAGAATGAGGCCCGGCTAGTTATCATTTAAAAACTCTAGCTTTGGCCAATCCATTGCGGAAAGAACTATTCATGCCCAGCTTTCCGGTGCAAATGAAATTTAGAGCTATTATTAACACAACTACAGAATGTTATATAGCATTATAAACCTGCATGAGGAGAATTGTTCCACTTCACAACTTTAACCTGTCCTCCCAGTTCCTGCAAATGATGGGCAAAGCTTGAAATAACATGGTGGGGTGCCAGGTCATCATTCTCCGAGCACAAAATGAGATATGGGGCACCAAGTCCCTGTAAATTAAATACCAAAAGGGAAGTTATTCCTACAAAAAAAGTGAATTTCTGAAACAAAAATCAGTAAACACAGAGAAGCTCGGAACAGAAACTCACAATGGACGCGTACAGAGCCTGCCAATACTCGGCCCGTTGGGATCCAAATCTTGTAAGATATAAACTGTCAAGGCCAGAAGTAATCCCTTTCGCCAACCAAGAAACTAGTCTCGCAGGCCCAGACATTCTACGTATGGTGGGGTGCAGAGAAAATTTTGCAGCCAAATCGCTTGTAAAATCCAGTGGACCAGAGTCATAGATATGTCCGGAAAGACAATTCCTGACCAACTGGCTATCATCCTTCACAAAACACCGGAAGGCATTAAAAAACCACATTACTCTACACCTTGACCAAGCTGCACTTAGATGAAAATCTAAAGCTATGGATAATTGTACGTACGACAGAAAAATCTTACCAAATGAAGATGACCTTCACAAGCAGCCTGGATTACCTACTAATTAGAAAATTTTCAAATACCAATCAGAAGAAATATAAACCAGCACAGGGGAAGACAAGGTATATAAAAATATAATCCATTCGGCTTGCCTGGAAAACTTTGTACATGCAAGCTTTTGGAGCCCCAGAAACAGCAAAGAAGACTACAGGGGATGGTCTGATCTTTAGCTCCTGCGCATTAACAGTACCAGTTATTCTAAATTATACACGCACCGTTCCAGCAAGAACACAAAACAAACAACTGAACTTTGAAGAAAGAAAACCAATTCTGGGTTGGTTTTAGAGTGCAACAGAGAAAATACTTCCACTTTTTGAAGAAACCATCCAATTATTGACCAGAATCATAAGGTGAAGAGCAGCAAAAGTTGACCGGAACTGACCTCAGTGAGTTCAGCAAGAAGAGCATAAGCTAGGGACATAGCCATCTCCGGGTAAAACCTAAACACATTGACAAAAACACAAATAGTATGCCAATTTCTCAAACATAAGAACTTTTGTTGAAACAAGATAATCTGAATTGAAAAGTTTTCAAATAATAGGGAAATATCTCCTTGTCTGAATGTGATAGGAAATGAATCATGAAAACAAAAACATTGGACCGTCTACGATCGATAAATTCCTCCCAAACATGCATATGAAATTCCCAATTCCGTCAATATACTTGGATAGAGATTCGAATAACGAGCTAACATATTCTGATCTTCAGACCTAAGTTACTAGAAGCTAATACTCGCAAGCTCGCAGACAATTCTACACCAAAATTCAACACTCTCTCGAAATTTCCCGGAATTATTCTCGGAAACCAAACAGAGGGCGAATTAGTCCCGGAAAACGACAACGGAACTTACGCAGTGAGAAAATCAGCGCGGCAAACAAGCGAGTTCCATCCGAGAGAAGAGTACAGATCAATGTAATTTCTCAGCTGATTGTCGTTGATCGAGCTCCAAGCGAAGATCACGACGACGCCGTTGGATCCTCCGTGCTCCTCCGCTGCGGCGTCCGTCTCCTCATCCGCTTTTCTTCTCCAGTAAACTCTGCCTCCGCCTATCATCTCAAACGCAATCCCGGCGAAATCCCGGCGACGATTTGAATTCACGGTGACCTGACGAGTATGAACACAGTCGACGCTTCTGTTTTCATTTTACATAACTCTCGCCTCCAAGTTATTTTTTTTTGTTGTTGGAGGCTTGGAGCCACTCGATCTTTGAGATGCGTGGTGGTGGTTTTCTAGAGATTGACCACGTCAGATGCTTCGGTATACACCCCATGTGCACATTAGTTGCTTGTCATTATCGTGCGCTGGATTGGTTAGTTGAGATACGACGTCGTTTGCCACGTCATGGTCTTACCGTGGAAGCAACGGTCGATTACGATTATTGTGTGGATATACCACAAGCATATACTAAGGTGTGATTGGACCGTCGTATTATTTTAAATTGACTATCTAAACTTGTTAGCAACGACTAATTTTTTTTGTCATTATAAATGTTAACTACTTTCTTGCTTTAGAATACCACAAAAAAAAATCTCCAAAATAATATCAAATCAAGTATTTTTTTCTAAGTACATATGTATGCATTGTGCATTTTCTAACATATGGTGCAATTTATTATATATAATATAGATATTATATTATACAAGGGTTGATGATATTATATAATACACTTACCGGATCTAATATTATATTCAACTATGATATCAATACCCACTAAAAATAGATCGAATGGTGTAGACGGTTGAAAAGAAAGAATTTTTTTTTCTAGCTCTCATATTCGAATGATCGTTAGGAAAGAATGATGCAATTTAATCGTAATAATATTATTTTCGTTCGAGAGTGAATGTAATTGGATCGAATCTTTAATGAACCAATTTGAATATCAGAAAAATTTATGTTGTCGATAGCTTTCATTTTTTTCACAGTGATGATTATTCAAAGGTCTAGTTTTTGAAAAAATCTATTTGAAAACCTCTCTCTCTGTACGTTTCATTGTGTCTTAAAAAAATATTATATGACCATCACTTGATGTCTAAGAATATAGATACAGGTGCACATCATCTATACGACGTGAGCAGACGTCCGACATTATCTGACGAGCCCAACTAAGGCCCATTTGTTACAATTGTAGGCCCATGATTCGGACCAAGCCCATCATTAGCCCAAATAAACATTCTCTATTTCCCCTAATGTCAACGTGGGGTTTTCTTTTTTGGGGGTAAATTCTGTAAACTAATTTGCACACCACAACCTCTAGACATTGAATCAAAATCTATTATGATTCTCTTCTTTAATATGAAAAAAAAAAATCTAATATGCACGAACTCACATCAAGATTAAATCTTATTTTTACCCAGAAATCGAAACTGAATACAATTTTCTCTTTTTAAAAAAAAAAAATTGATTAACACACAATATTCTAGTATTATTTGTTGATTATATATAACACAAAATATTCGTTATGATTTCTGTAAGGAAAGATAAAAATGGATAAACTCGTAACGATAAAACACTATTTATTTCTGGCATACCATTAAAATAATAAAATTAACCCTTTTGTGTCCCAAAGCGAAATAGGATTTAGTCAAACATAATCCGTTAAATTAAATGTATAAAAGACAGACACAAGTCAAAGTCAAATCCACGAAAAACGAATGGATTACACGTCATTCTAGTATTATTTAATAATTAATTTATGATTTTATTTTAAAAAATAAAAAATATACGATAGTGGTCGAGCAGTGTGTCGGGTTGGGTGCACAGAAAACGACGCCGTTTCGTACCTCAATGTTCGTCTCCGTCTCTGTTTTTTTTTTTGTTCGTTTCTTTCTTTTTTCCTCCCAAAATTTCTTCTCGTCTGCAATTGTGAACACCAAAAAGATTTCCATGGCGCATCATGGTTTTAATGATTAGAGATCCGTAAATCCGAAGCGAACAACGATCTCGAGCGTCTCTAATCATTGTGTTCTCCACGGGGAAGCCCATACTTTATTTTCTCTCAATCTCTCTCTCTCTCTCGTATATTTTGTGTATTTCGAGATTCTTCGTCTCTCTCTGTCTCTTTTTTTTTTCCTTCAGAAAATTGCTATTTTTATGGGTTGATTTAGGAAAAGGTGCTTTTGTGTGTTCGTTAATCATTTTTTGAATTTTTGGCTGGTGGGTGCCTGAAAATTCAATGCCTTTGTGTTCTCTTTCTCTCTGAGCTCCAATCTCTCTCTCTCTCTCTCTGCGGCAGCCATGGTCGATGAGCACTCTATCCTCCCGAAGGTATCTTCCTTTCCCCTTTTTTAGGTTTTATTCTGTTCACACTTTGTCTAGTTTCAATCTGCACGTGAATGTTGTGATCTGATTAGGGTTTGTTTTTTGGTGGAGCAATCTAGCTGATTTTGTCCTCTAGCTGTAGACTAAGCCCCGATTTCCTGACGAATCTCTCAGCTTGATCTTATATGTTTATATATATATATATGTATATATATATATATATATGCTTGTTCTTTAAGGTTGACCCTTTTGAGGAATCTGTGTTTTTACTTCAGTTTTTTGGATACTATGATTCTGTTTCGCAATCTTCTCAAGACAGAGACTAAATTTCTGGCAAACCCATATCAGTTTCGCTTGTTTTAACGATGGATTTCCTTCAATGCGTTATTTTGCAGGACAGTTTCGTTTTCAAGCTTCCCAAAAAGTCCCCACTTGTGTTAAGAATGGTTGTCCTGATGTTTGTAATGGTCTGTGCTGTCTACATTTGCTCGATTTGTCTGAAGCAAATAGGGGTAGGGCCAAAGGCTGGATTTTTGAATGTTGAAGTGTTTCAGAGGCCGTGTCCCGAGCCTAATATCAAACCATGGGATATACCCTATGTGCATTATCCTAAACCGAAAACCTATAGCAGGTGAAGAAACTTAGCCTCTGTCTTTGCATGATTCTTGGGTCTGCCCTTATATTGATAGTGTTTCTTTTTGTGGGTTGGATCATTGGAATGGTTAGGGATAAGTGTTCGTGCCATCCTGTGAGGTATTTCGCCATTCTCTCCATGCAGAGATCCGGAAGCGGTTGGTTTGAGACACTACTTAACAATCATACTAACATAAGCTCCAATGGGGAGATCTTCTCTGTCAAGGAGAGGAGGGCCAATGCTTCGACGATTTTCGAGACATTGGACAAAGTCTATAATCTCGACTGGTTGAGTAGTGCCTCTAAGAACGAGTGCACTGCTGCTGTTGGCTTGAAGTGGATGCTTAATCAGGTATGGGTTCTTATATTTTGAAGTCATTGATTCCGGATCAGAATCATAGTTCTTTGTCTTAATCCATAGTGTAAGAAAGCTTCTCTCTCCATTCGTGTGGCCGTCAGTCTAGTTTTTTCTGCTCATAATCGGTTATAAGCAGTTTTGCTAGATTTTCTCGAGCTTCACTTCATTATTTGCCCCATAAATCCCGAATACACCGAGACAGTTTGTTTTTTGCCGGATGGTTATATCACTAATATGTTGAATCTATAAGTTTGCAACTCATATCTTTAGTCATATCCTAAACCTCAAGATCGTGGTGATGTCTCTTGGCCAGCTTCCGTATAGCTAAAAACCTAATTGCTCTCAAACTAAAGTGGATGAATCTGTTTCTAGTTTTGGACAATAGATCCAATCTCCTGTCTGAAAGTTTGGCAGATACAACTCAGTTTTAAAAGTTGATGAAAATGTTTCAGCGGTCAGTCTTGAAGTATGATTAGTCCTGATCTCAATTTATATCCCCTGGGGTATGAGAGCAAAAACATGCAATCTTGCTTTGAAGACTTTTGTGGATTGAACCGAATAAATTGTTGTTTCACTCTTTCATGATTAAAAGAACCTTTGATTTCATGTAGTATTCGGGTTCCATTGAGTGTAAATGTTTCTCTGATGGGCCGAAAATACAAAACTAGAGATTATTGGTCGTTGTTCCATCTGTTGCAGATAACACAAACGTTTTGTTTAAAGATCGGATGACATATTCTGAGAGAATATGATTCTCTGATGTATTTTCTCTGTCGTGACGTTTCTCCTAGGTTGTCTGCTGATTAAGCCTGACTAAACAGATCAGAGTCCACTCAGTATCTTCTCAATTTTGTTCATGTTTGTTACTGTTGCTGCGTTGTATTGCGTATTTTTCCTGTTATACACGTTGTAACGGAGTGGTTGCACACCGGGAATTCAATGAAATATACGCAGGGTCTAATGAAGCACCATGAAGAGATAGTAGATTACTTCAAAACCCGTGGCGTCTCGGCAGTTTTCCTCTTCAGGAGAAATCTCTTGCGCAGGATGATCTCGGTTCTTGCAAACTCGTATGACAGAGATGCTAAGCTATTAAATGGCACCCACAAATCTCACGTTCATTCACCAAAAGAGGTCTCTCTCTCTCTCTCTCTCTCTCTCTACATACACATATATATGCCATTGTATCTATCTGACCCTCGATTCAGATGTAGTCGAATGTTTTGTTGATTCACGTGATTCTGCAACTTAAAGAAATGAAACGATGGTTTCAGGCTGAGATATTGGCAAGGTACAAGCCGAGAATCAACACGACCCTTTTGATACCTGATCTCAAACAGGTCCAAGAGATGACTTCAAAAGCTCTGTCTTACTTTAATACCACACGCCACATTGTTGTGTTCTACGAGGATGTTGTCAAGAACAGCACGGTGAGACAGGAAACCAGAAAAGACCATATTGGCTAACAAGATCTTAACTAGTTTCAGTACGCATGTTGTTCTGATATCCGGACGGTGTTCTTGCAGAAACTAGACGACGTGCAGGAGTTTCTAAAGGTACCGAAACACGAGTTAAAGAGTCGGCAGGTGAAGATTCATCATGGGCACCTTTCGAAACATGTTGAAAACTGGGAAGAGGTCCAAAAGACCCTGAAAGGAACCGAGTACGAGAACTTCCTGCACGAAGATTACCGCAAGTAATCAATCATTCCCACGAAACGGTGGACGTAACTTGCGCCTCAAGTAACTCTCTTTCC